TTAGAATCATCTCACTTTGAGTCATCTCACATAGAGTCATTTCACTTAGAGTCATCTCACTTAGAGTCATCTCACTTAGAGTCATCTCACTTTGAGTCATCTCACTTTGAGTCATCTCACTTAGAGTCATCTCACTTAGAGTCATCTCACTTTGAGTCATTTCACTTTGAGTCATCTCACTTAGAGTCATCTCACTTAGAGTCATCTCACTTAGAATCATCTCACTTTGAGTCATCTCACTTAGAGTCATTTCACTTAGAGTCATCTCACTTTGGGTCATCTCACTTAGAGTCATTTCACTTAGAATCATCTCACTTTTAGTCATCTCACTTAGAGTCATTTCACTTAGAGTCATTTCACTTAGAGTCATCTCACTTAGAGTCATCTCACTTAGAGTCATCTCACTTAGAGTCATGTCACTTTGAGTCATTTCACTTTGAGTCATCTCACTTTGAGTCATCTCACTTAGAGTCATTTCACTTAGAGTCATCTCACTTAGAATCATCTCACTTTGAGTCATCTCACTTAGAGTCATTTATTTCACTTAGAGTCATCTCACTTTGGGTCATCTCACTTAGAGTCATCTCACTTTGAGTCCTTTCACTTAGAGTCATCTCACTTTGAGTCATTTCACTCAGAGTCATTTCACTTAGAGTCATCTCACTTAGAGTCATCTCACTTTGAGTGATTTCACTTAGATGACTATCTGGCATAGAGTCATCTGGCCTACATTCATCACACCTACAGTCGTCTTATTCGCCTATTCATTATGCCTAGAACAATTCACAAACTATCAATTACTATTCTGACATCACCCATAGAAAACTAAATTAATTAGATTCTATTTTAGGTTTTGTTTGACTGAATATCTTGCTTTAAAATAGGATAACCTTGAACATGAAATGTCTCATATAACAGAAAACATATACTGTAAAAGGGTGTAATTATTCACTGGGTTTTAATTTAGTTTATTTCTCTGACTGGAAAATGCGCTAAATTAAAACCCAGTGAATATGTAAAATTTAGCATAGAACACATTATCTAAATGACGAAACTGTGAATTTAAAAACCCACTGAATATGCCTGAAATGGTAAATCAGTGAAATTTAAACCCAGTGAAAATTAGTCATTTTACAGTAACATCAATTTACTGAAACCATAAAATTTGCTCCAATTTACATGTTATTCAAAGTCAACTAATGATTTGCTGATCACTGACAGCATATTTTATCACGAAATTGACAATTTGGGTAGAGGAGCAAACATTGTACATTGTATTACTTAGACTAGATTGTTTTCTAAATGTTTACTATTTTGGCATGACTGCAAAAGCTGATTTTGAAGTCAAATTAAAAAAAGGTGAAAAACTACTTAGACCAGACTTTTATTATCCCTTGTTTCGCGAACCCGCCGAATGAACAGGAGCCGAAAATGAAATAAAAATAAAATTTTATTTTAGCGTAAAATTTTCTCGCGCACGCAGACTTTTAAGTGCAAAAAAATTGCTAAAATTTTCCGCTCGCCGCATAACAAACCCAAGTTGCATTTTCGTGGGAGTATCATGATCGAAGTACCGAAGTCTCGCGCAGATGAGAAACAAGGTTATACATGGAATAAAATTTTATTTCATTTCTTCTCTCTGATCAATGATCTCACTTACAATTTTTTGAGAATCACACAAATCCAATGGGAAAAAAAAAAAAAAAAATTTTTTTCGCCCTCCTAAAAAAATTGCCTTATAAAAACTCAAGAAACAAGGAATAAAAAAAGTCTGGCCTTAACAGTAGATATCGCATTTTTGGTATATACTGTACAACAAAAAAGAAGCCCTGACTTTGCGAGTCTGCATGGTCATTGATTAAAACAAAAACATCATCGAAATGCTTTTGAGACATTTCAAGATTTGAGAGGCCAGCTTATTTTGTTTTGTAGTTATACTGCTCATCAAAACCAAGAAATACAAATTTCTATTTGTTTTAGAATTTTGGAAATTAATTGCTTGCACAAACAGCCAGTTTTATTTAACATTAAAGTGATATACCAATAATTCAGTAACTAATTTGCATGGAACATTAGCAGCCAGAGTATCTATTCATCTTGATTTCATCAATTTTTGTTTTTGCTTGAATTAACCAGGCTTCAATCAATGCAGTTATAGTGTATGGTTTATCAAACTCAATCAAATTCTATGAAGCTCTTTATGTTAATGTTCGTGTGTTACAAGTTTATGAGAAGACTTACACATTTAAATGAAGTATGTCATTTAAAGATCATAGAGACATATACTTTATGTATCTATTGTCTCAATTTCAGATTGGATTTGACTATTTTTATAATTTGATATTCGATGGAAAATTTTTCATTATTCATGTTTGACTAAATTGGCAATCAGCAAAATTACCTCCCAGCAAGTAGCTATAAGAGGTGCACCTTTTTAATTATGCTAATAGATGAAGAAAAAAATGATATTTAAGACATGTCATGTTATGGTCCGAGCATTACTTAACATTTAGCTTTGAGTTGACGCCATGTATCTAAATTGAGTACTGTAAAATACTTTATTTTAGCTGGAATTAATTTTCGCTGAAAAGACATTTTGGGTGTTTTGTATGGAATTTATGTTCACTGATTTTTGGCGAGTTGAATGTAAAATATAGAGAAAAAGGTATATTTGCTGGATTTTATTTTCACTGAATCATTCCTTGAGCGAAAATAGCGAAAATTAATTCCAAGCGAAAATAAATTATTCTTGAGTAATACATGTACATCTAAATATGTCTCATATTAGTGACATTGGTAAACACTACAAAAAATAGTTGAAATTATTGATGACAATGAAACACACTTTTAGAAATTGTAAGTTTTTATGAAAAGGCAAAGCCGGCATGAAGGTTAAGTTACAGCGGACTGTACTTTGTATGTATATAACAGCTTTTCAAAAATGTGGTTAATTTTTGTAATTCATAAAATGAGCTTTATTTTTGGCTTAAAATAACATTTTTTTGGTCAAAATCATGTTAGTTGTAATCATGAAAAAAAATCATTTTTATTTTTTTAAATAAGTTTGTATTCACTGATTTTTTTAACAATAATCAATCCAAACACATTTTCCTGTGACTGCCAAATACTATGAGATCCATATCTTTTACCTACCGGATGCAACTCACACTGTTGCAAAATTTTCTAGTGAGAATTTATACCAGAATATCTTATTTATAACAATAATATAAAAAAAATATAATTTATTCAAATAAAATGCAGCAAAGTATACCAATTAAATAATCAACAGATTGGGACCGAATATAATAGCATATGCGTTTACATTAATTACAGACTCAAATGTCCCAAAATTATCTTACAACATTTTGTCCAAAATGGCAACTAGCGTCAAGGGACAATTCTAATTCTTTACCATATTTTGGGTGCAAAAACAGTAAATTTAACAGAAAACACTTTGTCTGAAATAATTGAAAAAAATTAGGAGTTTTTGAAAAAAAAATACCAGCAAATTGCTGATGTCTGGGAGCATCTGAATCACTGAGAGATGTATTTATGGTCAAAATACGTAGTATTTTAATGATACAGTACATGTATGAAACAAATTTATTGTTATTTTAAATGCAATAGGTCTTCTATTGGAGATGTTCTTCTAGTAGAGCTAATAAGGTACATTGATTATATTGACTGTAATAGATTCAGTTTATTTCAGAAACCTCTACTTTATCTCAATATAACTGCCATGATGTGTCACATTCAGTTGCCATCTCAACTCAACTCAAAATTTCAAACTTGTGTTTAAATTGTTTTCTCAGAATTACATTGTAACATTTTTATAAATTTAATTTATTTTGTATTTAAATTAACCTAACAATTTGTCATGAACAAATTTGTTGGAATACAGGATATACATGTATATCCAAAAATATAACATGTAATTACCATTTCAACTATGTAAATTTTTTGAATAAAATAATTTAAATATGTCCTTCAATAATAATAATAAAAATTAAATTCTGACAAAAATTTTAATCCCATTTCCATGCTGTTCGTAAATGATTTTTTTGGGTATATTTATGTTTTCCTTATGTATAATACTGTAAAGGGGTTAATTATTCACTGGGTTTTAATTTAGCTTATTTCGCTGAGTGGAAAATGCGCTAAATTAAAACCCAGTGAATATGTAAAATTGGGCATAGAACACATTATCTAAATGACAAAACCGTGAATTTAAAACCCACTGAATATGCCTGAAATGGTAAATCAGTGAAATTTAAACCCAGTGAAAATTAGTCATTTTACAGTACTTTGTAACCATATTATGGAAAATAAATTATTATTTAAATTATTGATATAAATTATTATTAAAATTATCAAGCTCATTCAAATTCAGATCACTCATAGCATAGCGGTTGTTGCATTGTACTCAAGATTAGTAACGCCCCCCCCCCCCCAATATAATAACAAATATTATTAATATTAATATATGTTAATGTTAATGATATTAATATATATTGCTAGTTCTGTGAGGGATTCATATATACTTTGTTTTAACTTATCATGTCTAAAGCCCAGAGAGTATTCACTAATGGGTGTGACTTTTGGATGCAAACATGTGTTCCAGGATAGCCTTAAATTGCAGTTTAGTTGAGAGATACATGGATACAGTTTCTATGGTAAAATGCACTAATGTCTGGTTAAAGACAGAAGAGACAACAGCAACAAAATGAAGTTACAGTTAATACCTGGTAGTATATTATACAAATAGTGTCTGACAATGCAGTCTGAAATTATAGGTATACCAGCATTACTGTAGCAAGTACACATGACATGGTGACTTTGAGGTCAGTCCAGGTCATTGAATTCTACAATAAAAGAAATTTCATCAATCATCAGCTATTTTTTACTTTTCTGATCGCAACATACCATATCACCATGGTGATACTGTAATCATTGAATTAAATGTTTGGTGTGCCCAAGAGTGGAGGGGTTATATAATTAAATTTGTAGATGTTCAGCAGAAAAAACACACATTTAAATAGAAAGATGAAGAGAAGAGAAGATAGTGAAGAGATACCGGTAGCAATCATTGAGTTGTACAATGTACAAGCTGTGGACTATACAATCAGAATCCTCATTGATGCTACGTAGAACATACCATTGATAATCTGATCACAGAGTTAAAACAGAACAACTTAAAAAATTGTAATTATACCTTGCAATTTACAGCTCCTAGTATTAGTGAGCTGCTTTTCCAAAAAAGTAGCATCAAATAATAATATATATCATTTAATGCATGAACGACAATACTGTATCCCCAGTACATAAAATATAAGTAATTTTAATATAGGAAAGCATTAATTTAAAGTTAAATAAATTAAATAAAAATTCACACTTTGTTTTAAAAATAACAGGTGCCTGGCAATTTAAACAAAATAAATATTGTTATCATATTTGAAAATTAAATAAATAGCATACATATGTTTTTGTTAAAATATTATTAACGTGAATTTGTACCCGTCTGTTTTGTTGTTTACAAAAAGTGTAACTGTATGTGAATACTCACTCACTTTATAACTTCACCGTCCTTTAAATGAACACAATATGATTTATATATTATTTTTACTCTAAACTGGGTGATGTAACCAATATAAGTATTATATCTGGTTTTAATACAACTCAGACACATGGTAGACAAAACACAGCTGCCTTTACAGAAACTACAGCCAGTCTTTTCAACTAAATACGCTTGGAGAATAATAAATGACATTGTCTTGTTTCCGTTACATTATATCAACCACAAACAGACGTGTTATTATGAGTATGGGGTTTACAAGAGAATATTCGAGATTAGAAAGGTGCGTACAGAATGAATGAAACAACTTTACTCACCTAGATCGGGCGAAAAGACGTAGATAAATTGATTAAACTTATACGGTTACGGTCCTATAACGCCCACATGCGAGTTTGTATCAGCAGCGATGATCCCGTACGCGAGATGCTCGGCTTTTGATTAGATCGCCCAGAAACATCAACACCACTTTATCTTTATGTTAATTTAATGACCCCCTAGCAAAATGTAGAAAACAACAGATATTTATTTATATATTTAATTTTTAGAATTTATCTGGAAGCATTAGAAAGCCGGTATACTAACACTGGATAAAAACAAAACATTATTTTAACATAATGGTAAATCCAGTTAAAATACTCACATTAATTTTTTTATAAATAAAAATAAGAAATATTTCAAATGTTAATAAAAATGTTATTTTGTGGCGTGTGTATGCATAGTCCCTCTATATAATGTACATGAATGTCAGTGTGGGATTTAAAACAATACTAAGTGTCGATATTAAAATATGTATAATATTTGCAGATGTAACAGTCAACTACCACGTCACGTCCCTCAAGGGACGGTGACCACGCTTACTGTCCCGCGTCACCTGGTCCCGCGTTTGCCAATTTCATGTCAAAACATTTAATGAATGAGTTAAGGGAGCTTTGGGATGCTGGTGGTATTTTCACATCGGTTTCGGATTCGATTTGCAGCAAAGTCAAGATAAGACAAATCTCAGCGACGACTACAATGCAATACAGATGTGAATAAAGACAAACAAACAATTAAAGTGAGAATAAAAATACACACAGGAAAATAAAAAAAATAAATAAATAAATAAAAAACAACTAGCAAATAAAAGTAGAAAAAAAAATAATGGTAAAGTAAATTGGATTGTTTTCCACATTTGTGTTGGTGAATGTTTAGATTACTATTGCATGTACATGACCTTATCTTGAGATAGCTGACTATAATGTTTTCAGTTTTTCCTCTCTTGTTTTGAAACAGTTCTCTATGTACTTTGCTATTTGTATTATTATTTTCTCATCTTTATTATTTAAAATATATTTTAATTTTTCTTTATTGTTTGCTAAGTGTTGGGGTGATAACAGCTGATAAAGTTTTTTTCTTTCTCTCGCGTAGAGATCACATGTTAAAAGAAAATGTTCTTCGTCCTCTATGGCGTTATTTTCACAACATAGACATTTTCTGTCAGATATATCTGTGTTGTTTAACAATAGTCTCCCAGTCTCTATTTGTAGTCTGTGAGCACTAATCCTCAATTTTGTCATTGATGACCTGTGATGAGTATTTTTGACTACGTGTAAGTAGTTTTCAAAGCCAAAGTCTGTTTTCAGTTCTCTGTAAGTGCGCAATTTATTTTTATGATTTTCCCTTTGTTATCATTGTCTAAAATCTGTTTACAATTTTTTTCAAACTTTGTTTTTAGTTTTTCTGATATTATTTTATTTATATTTACATTGTTCGCATTTTGCTTTTTTTCTTCCTGCCACAAATGGTCTATATCTAGATCAGTATATAAATAAGTACTTATTACAAGATAATATATAAAGATGAATATACAAACAGAAAAAAACAACTTAAGTGGAAGGCGAACACCATTTTATTACAACATTGCTCTATTTTTACATTTTTAGTGTTTAAATAAAAGGCAACACTATAAATAAAACAAACATTAAGCTTTCAACAACAACTCTAAAAATGAAGGTTTTCTGAAAAAAATATTAAATCGCGTCCTCTATTGTCCGTGTTGACAGTTGGTTCTATTATAATAATAATAATATAATAACTTTATTACACAACTGCACCATCGGTGGGTGCTGTATGGTAAGGATACAGATCAGAAAAAAAGTATAGCTTACTTGGATATTTCACAGTTGCCGACATTTTGGACCTAGCACACAAAACGTAAGAGACTGAAGAGAAACCAGCCCAGCAGGTATGTGACGTCATCAATGTATCTACTTTATTTCATTTCCATACAAGGAAATTGTATTCAGTGTCGTTTGGAGAACATACTGTAAAATGACTAATTTTCACTGGGTTTAAATTTCACTGATTTACCATTTCAGACATATTCAGTGGGTTTTAAATTCACGGTTTCGTCATTTAGATAATGTGTTCCATGCTAAATTTTACATATTCACTGGGTTTTAATTTAGCGCATTTTTCCATTCAGTGAAATAAGCAAAATTAAAACACAGTGAATAATTACCCCCTCTTTTAATATCATTTGTTGGTGTCAACAGTAATTTACAAATTGCGAACAAATTGTAAATTCAAGCTTATTCTTTCAAAAAATTGCGGTGAACAATAAAGTAGATCTACTGTTGAATATTACCGTGATAAGTAAGTATAAAATATATGATATATGTTATAGAATATTTATATACACGCGAGTAAATATACTCAAGACACCTCCTGGCAAGCGCCTCTTTCGAATCCGAATAGTAAATCTAAATTGAATCGGAATGTAACTTAAGTAGCATAACAAATATGGCGGTCATCGAAATAAGTTTCGAAACTGATTTCAGCAGATTTTAGTTGAAGGTAAGCATTTACCAACTTTGCAAAGCGTGTATAACGACAATAATAGTGTCATAGCCTTGTGCACATGTCTGTTGTTTCAGACGTAGGGACTGTGATTGTTGAATGATTTGTAAACATGAATTTCGTTTCACACTCTTTTACACACTATCGGACACTAATATGTGAAATTAACAAATTACGGGTGAATAGCGACGTGTATCAAACGAGAGCAAAAACATTCTTCTTTCAAAATAACACCGTATTTTTACTATGGGTCACCTGATTTTAGAATAAGAACGCAAGCAAGCGAGACTGTCCGATAGTTGGGGCCGTCCGATAGTTGGGCCAGGGAGTGTATTAGCTTTTTCTCCAAAATGGAAGAGAAAATCAGTTCTGGAGACTAACTCTTGACCGCGGGACATCCTAACTCAAAAGAGCTAGTTCCGTGTCCCATTGGATATTGTATGGCCCTCAAGATAACTATAAGTGTCCTCAAGCGAGCATACATGAGGGATATCAATTAAATAAATTACATGTATAAATTATACACAAAAAAAAAAGAGACACAATGTTTCACTCTATCGACAGTGCAAATGCAAATTTTCTGAATTTAGATATAGAATACACTCAGTCACACTTATTGTACTTTTAATTTACTCAACTTTCGCTTACTTAACTTTTAGTTATTCATTATTAACTTTATTACATTCTAAACACCAAATTAGAAATGTAAAATTAGCAGACGAAAAATTTGTTTATAAAATAAAAAGAGTTCGGTTGCCAATGGAAATACCATGTTCATTTGCATATCGACCATGAAAATACTATTGCATGGGTGATATGCAAATTAGTTGTAGTCAAAATAAGTGACTGCCTAAAAGTACCATTACTGTTGTTCAAATTTAATTTCACTTGGCAAGTATATTAATGTACCCCAAGTGTAAAATATCGTACTTCTAAATTATTTATTATTTATTTATTTATTTCTGCTATGTTTCGAAAAAACGGTACTCCTGAAGGGGGGACTACTTTGTTTGCTCTCAGACCTGATTTGCATATGGGGGTGTGAAAAGACCTATTTTGATTTCAGGGATGAATCAAAAGAAACTGCAGTACACATGTAATAATAGTAGATATACAAGTTTCTGAAATGAATTGGTTTTAGCAGAGAATGTAGTATTTGTCGGGATTTCTTGTCAGGCTAAATGATATTTATTAAGTAGTAGAAAGTGTAATTCATCTTCAACTTTATTTAACGAACATTGTTTACAAATTCTATCTAAGTGTGTCTTTGGCTGAATTTGTTTAGACCCAGTAATTTCTTGTGAAATTTCAAGTGAATTTTTCAGTTGGAGTCTTACCCAACTTCCCAATACAGTATCTGAGCGGCATAATAGGATTGGCTTTATGCAGCCCTTGAAGAGATGTACAAGTATACATGTTTCACAGTTACATAATACCCCAGACCATTCGTCCCGGTGTTATCGCTATCGCCACACGAGACTCCAGCTTGTCTCCTATACAATTTGACTGCGCACATCCAGAAAGTAGATGTAGCTGTGATTGGTGGAATACTAATGAGTTGAGTGTCAGTCAAACGCCCACGCTATCTTTAGTAAACAAAGTCACGTGACACGCGCCATTTTAGTTTTGATTAGTTCATCGGATCTGAGTGTCGGTGCTCGCCATCCATAAATCAAATCAAAATGATTTCTAATTGGAAATGGCATATTTTCATCAAACTCCTTTTCAACATCATGGTTGTTAATGTCCGTCACGTCGCTAAGTACATTTGAACTGCGGTCATCATTGCAAATTGAATGTGAGAAAGTTATGGAACGTCGTTTTGAACTTGAACGTGGTCGGGCAGGCGATTTCAAGGCAGCACGCTTAACCCTTTCGTTCACAGGTTGGGAGATATTAGAATGACTGACAATTTCACGCAACTGTTTTACATTATTGGCGGATTTTCTGCGCTATCAATCTTTCTCTTACAAATT